CCGTAACGGCAAACTGCTGTGAACTAACTGATGGCACGGTAAAGCGACCTCAGCCACACGAACGTCTTGCTACTCTCAGGGATATCACAATAAGTGAACACATTCTGACCATCTTTTATACTTGCTCAAACCTAACTTCGTTTGAACACTGACACTTTTAGTCAATCCTACATAGGGTTTAATTCAACGTAAGGTTGCCGTTGATAAGGATAACAACTCATTTTACTTTGTTCTCCAACACAAAGACAACATTCCTAATGTATAGTTAGATATTTTCTCGAGATATCGGTACGACGTTTGATTTCCTGGGACAAACAAATTGTTATAACTTTTGAACCTGTGTGCCCTGTTTATTGTATAACACAACGATACCACCAATCAGAAAGCAGTGAATTATCGATCGAACCAGTGACACATAAAACACGTGCGAGCAGCCTCGAGTCCTAATTGCTCCTGCTTTCCGCCTAGCTCAGTCAGTTAGGTCCGGAACACTAATCTCAGACTCCGTAATATGAATCATTTATTTCAAGCATACTGGGTTTATATATCAACCAGACAGACCATATCGTACCATAAAATATGAAACAATATTTGCACAAGAATTAGCCAAATGTGGCTGTGAACGAGGGAGATACTAATCAATAGACAAGCCATAACTCAAGAATGATAAATTACTGTCTCCCCAAAGTTCTGTAATATTTCATCTTCTTTTTGTCCTTTGGTTTATATACGAATACAAGTGTTAAGTGCATTCTATGGATTCCTTAACAAATTTTTCTTTGTGCAACCTTCTAGACTTACGGAGGGTCGGGACACAGGTATTCTGGATACTGGGCACATGTGATAACCTTATCAAATAGTCCCTGCTCGAAGGAATTCTCTGACGATTCAGTCCTCAGATTTTTCCAGTCTAACGTGGGTGTATTAAAGTCTCCCAGGACTAAACATCGACCACTTTGTGACCAAGTACTGAGATTGTTTTGCAAGACCTCACTTATCTTACAGCTTCGACTGAGGCAGACTGAACCAATCAGTAGCTCTTGTCCCTTTCATTTCAAGCTGTAAATAACTAGTTCACACGTCCCATACTCATGGGATACGCTGTCGATGATGGCAAATGTGATGGTATTACTAACGAATAGAGCTACTCCCCATCCTTTAAGATTCTGGATTCTGTCGTCACTTGCCAACGTAAAACCTTCAAAACCAAATTCTATACTATCCACGGCTCCTCTTTTCATGATAAGTGACTGAAAAACTTGGCGAGTGATGTGATCAGTGATTTGAAAGAGCAACGTGAAGTAACTTTATATTTTAGGGTACTACGTTGCTTAAACAATTCGTGAAATTTCGATAATGCAATGAGTAATACAATGTTGAAACAGAGACTTAAATTAGCTATCAACCGGACATTTTATGCAGCCCAACTTTTCATTATCGAAAAGACAAGGTCTATGTTTCACCAAAAGCCCAAACAGCATGAAAACGATTGTGTCTATAAATTTACATGTATGTGTGGAAACACGTACGTAGGGAGGAGCAATCGTGATTTGCAATTAAGGGTGGGTGAACATATACCAGAATGGTTGCAGAATCAGATGAATTCCAATGGTGAAATAAGATCACAGGATAGACAGACATCATCATCCATTGCGAAACATTTGATTGAGACGGGTCATAAGGTTGATATCAAATCAGCATTCGTTGTGTTGTACAAAAGCCCTCAAGGACATATACTAAGGTTTATTGAAGCCTTGGCTATATGAAGATTGAAACCCCCTTTATGTGTTCAAAAACAATTTGTACTTACACTTAACCTACCCTGGTATTACTGATTTACTGTCCAGAGTGGTAATCACATTTGTTTTTGTGTATTTTAATATTTTTCCTTTGTTATGACTTACCCTTAACCTGTCTAGTTGACCTTTTAGTTTTTCATATATAAATGTTCTTAACAAGTATATGTGTGATCAGATTGTTCGAAATGTATTGTGCAAATATATCACATAATTCTGATAAACTACGTCTTCTCATTGCATTATCGAAATTTATCAAAGGGACTAATTGCTTTAAATTCGTGAAATGTGGTGAGAGCCAATATCTCAAAGACAACTTGCAACAAACATACAATCATATAGTCATCCCAACACATTAAATATGACTTCTTAAAGCCCACAAACTAGACACCTCATGCGCTTCTAAGAAATAACGGTCGAGATATCAGAAATCTTCATTGACAATTTCAACACTCATTCGAAATAGGAACTCACAAACTCGAGACACCCTTCCACATTAGAACCCTCTAGTGGCCTGAGAAACATCCACTAAATTCCTGGGTTAGTTCTGAAGAAGCTGAAACCCTTGTATCAAAAATGTCACTAGGATGTGACAACTAAGGGATAACTTTTTGAAGGCCGACTCCCCACACATGGATTACTGCTGCCAAGCTACAAGGGCGTACGAAGTGATTAATTTATTAAAAATCCTACCCGCGTTACTTCAATGTACCTCATGAAGTAGACCCACGGCAAGCGACACATTAGAAAGCGAAAAACTAGATATCACCACATTTTTTCTTATTAGGATCAAGTCTGTCTGGAATACTCTCACAGCCGACGCGATCACACCTACTTCAGTAAGTAGCTTTAAGAGGAGGGTTGATAGCCAAGGACTTACTCACAGCTCGCCGTTCTTCTAATGGGGCAGCCACAGCTGAATCGTGTTTTGTATCTTTGTATTATCATTACCATTGTCCCCATTATCATTGATACCATTATTAATAATACTACTGTCATTACTCTTATTATTACTTCCACCACTATAGGCATAGCTTGTCTGCTCTGATTGTTTATGAAAAGTTTTTCAGACCGGGACAAACCAAATGCTCTGCCTGATAATCTGAAAGTTACTGGCCCTGGCCAACCCGATGTTCTAGAATAAACTTACTCGTTTACATCCAAGGTAAACTATGGACAAAATATGGACAAATTCGCCTCTAACCCTAGAAGCCTATTCCGTTATGCAGCCTCTCTTCGTCAAGCCAAAACAGGAGTTTCTCAACTGCTAGGTCCTAACGGCCCGACCAACAACGATGGCGACGCCGCTAACCTTCTGGCGGCCCATTATTCTCAAACATTTCAACCGGCTGATATCAACTTTATTGACGACAGTTTCATCTGCAATTCCACAGGACTTTCTGAAGTGGACCTAAGCGCTGACTTGGTGTTCCGGAAACTGCAGCACTTAAGACTTGACACTTCTCCTGGCCCGGACATGGTTCATCCTGCCATACTGAGGGAGGCAGCCTCAATCCTGGCAACGCCGCTTAGCGTGATGTTTTCACACTCGCTTAGCCGAGGCAAACTACCGGAAAATTGGAAGTTGGCTCACATCACACCAATTTTCAAAGGTGGTCGACGCAATGAACCTTCAAGTTACCGGCCGGTAGCTCTTCTGTCGTTACCTTCAAAACTCATGGAGTCCCTGATATGCGACGGTTTAAATGACTACCTACTGTCCTTAAATTTCTTCTCACCCCAACAGCATGGTTTCAGGAAGGGTTACTCTTGTATAACCAACCTGCTGACTGCGGTGGACAGATGGACAAGCATCCTCGATCGCAAGGGAAAGGTTGATGTCATTTACCTTGATTTCTCAAAAGCTTTTGATAAGGTTAACCACTTGTGTCTTATCAACAAGCTCAAACGACTAGGTATCAAACCACCTCTAATCGACTGGCTTACTTCATACCTAAAAAATCGACACTTTAAGGTTAGGGTTAATTTCACTTAATCTCAAGCTATGGAATGTCCTAGTGGGGTCCCCCAGGGCTCAGTACTAGGGCCCCTTCTCTTCTTGATCTACATAAATGATCTTCCTCAACAGGTAACGTCAGACTTATTACTTTTTGCCGACGACGTGAAACTTTGGAGAGAGATACGCAACCAAGACGATATACAGGCACTTCAAGAGGATCTGACTCGACTTCAAAGTTGGGCAGACGATAACGGACTTACCTTTAACACTTCAAAGTGTAAAGTAGTCCATCTGCGACATGTCGCAAACTACAGTTACAACTTAGGAAACTCCTCTCTAGTAGTATCCCAAGTCGAAAAAGATTTAGGAGTCCTGGTGCCCCATGACTTAAAGTCTTACGCTAACTGTGACAAAAATGCCTTCCGAGCAAACCTTGCACTGGTAACGTTGAGGCGCATTTTTGGTCAGTTTGACGGAAGAACTTTCCACACAATCTTCAATAGTTTCATCCGTCCCCATTTAGAGTACGGAAACATAGTACTCCCCCCCTCACTCCAAAAGGATAAGGTCACTTTGGAGCGTATCCAACGGCGAGCCACGAAATCAGTTCGAGGACTCAAATCTAAGCCTTACGAAGAACGCCTTCGTTCAGTAGACCTTTACCCACTAGAATATAGGCGTCTTAGAGGTGATTTATTAATGGCTTATAGTATTCTTAACACTTCTGGACATCCTCTTAAACACCTACTTAAGCTTAGTTCGAACAATAACCTAAGGGGTAACACCCAGAAACTGGAAACACAACATAGCAAGACGGAATGTAGACACAACTTCTACTCCTTAAGAGTTGTCAAAAGCTGGAACTCGCTGCCGGCCGAGCTAGTCCAAGCGACTTCTCAGGAGTCCTTCAAGAGGCAACTTGACCTATTCTTAAGGACCAAGGACAGCATCGCACTATGATTTACCAATTTCTTTTCCTCTTTTATTGTTAACATACCTAGGTTCCTGCCTGGAGGATTTGGTGATCCCCTGCTACTAGACACGGAAGCCTGTTAAGCGAAAGCTTCTTCTATTCCGTCCACAACCATTTGAACCATTTGAATCTACAAATAAAAGAGCAGCTGAATGGCTATGTGATAAACATCGAAGGACTTCAAAGGCCTAGAAACATGCTAAAGTATCAAGAAGTGAGCTTAAGGAAATCAGTCGATATTCCCAAGTTCATCATACAAATATTGTATATTAGATTTGAACGAGCTTAGTTTGAAGGATAACGTTGTGCGCTAAGCTTATGTTCGGACAATTGCTCTTCGAGGCACTTATGTTTGTAGAAATTTTTCATAAATTACTTTACTTATTATAAGTTTAATGTTTTGTCTGTATATACGGTGATTTTTATAATTGCTGATGTCTTAGTAGTCTAGCTATCACTAGTCAAAGCTTTCTAGTACGCTTTCGATCGGATGGACAGCCTATTTCCCGCATATTGAGTACCAGAAGTCGACTCTGCGTGCTTTAGTTGGTATAGTTTATTAATTTTTGATAACGTAGGTAAGAATAATTTGTGAATGACCTTTGAGTGGTGCTAAAGTAATCCCAATCTCCCTATTTTTTGTGAAAATTTGACCCGTTTCGGGAGAATTTCGGCGAAGCCCCCTTAGTAAATTTTGGGGTTTTAATGTCATTTTTTCAAAAAATTTGTATAGCGGCTCTCCAAGTATTTCCCTAAATTTTCCCAGAATCTTATTACACTTTGGGGGAATCCGTCTATACTTATTTATGAAACCGCAAACATTTTCCGCAATTTCGGTGAAATAATCCAAAATGCCTCGTTTTAATGCCATAATTCTCCACATTTTTCGACAGATATCACGAAAAAGCCTTACGATAATAATCACCTAAAAGTTTCTACTCAAGCGTTCCATTTTTTCCCTGTCAATTACGGACAGTAAACACAGTGCCAAAAAAACTTAACTACAGTTCGTTACGACAATCGATCTATCGCTGTAATTAAAAAGACTGATGTTATGATTCATCAAAGGAAATCATCACTTGCAGAAACTCAAAGCTATCAACTACAAGGCCTGACAATGTAGCAATTGCCAACGGTCAACTAGGTTTCACCACACAAATTACTGATGGAGGTCGGATTAGGTTAGTCTCAAACCAAAACGCTAATTAGAAGTAAACAAAAAATATTCCAAAAACAAATAGCAATAGTCGATATATTGAGAACCTTGGCGTGTGCATAAAATTTACACAGAAATATTCTAGCGGACTAGATATAGGTCTCCGACCTGTCCCGAATATGCATTAATCAAAGCTCTTGTTAACAGGGATCCAACACAATTGTTCGTTTTCTTGCTCAAAGTCAGTAGATGTGCATCATAAGCCCATATTTTCTTGTAAGGAAGCCAGTATCTACGGAGATATTCCCAGTCGCGCCTACTTAGTTCATTTACGACTCACGAATTTTGCTCGTTTCTGCGAAATAAATATGTTATGGGCATTACTGTCCAATGGCTTCGACCTTTATTAGCTAGCCCTGATGAACACTTGCCACTTAATCTCACATTTAAAAACAATCTCATCAAATCGATTGTTCGTTTGCCTCTGCAAAAAACGTCGATAGATGTGGAAATTGGAAATCTTAGCCAGTCTATGGGTCGTAAGGGATGCCGCTATTTCAGATTGTGCGCAAACCACTACAAACGTCTGTCACCCAAGTGTTTCCTATTATTTCCGTAAACCTATCCAGTATCTAAGTTACATCTGGTCTTAATTCTTTTCGCTTCCATGTGAACGTAAACGATAAATATCAGTGATTACAAACAAAAAGAAAGTATCTCTCTACCTGGTAAAACTGAACATGAAACCTCCTCACTTCTTGCTATTAGTATTGTAAGTTGAATCTATACTAAAGACTCCCAGATACTTTCAATGTAATGTAATTTGTTGGTTACTTTTAAAACAAACTTTTATTCAATTTCTATCTTCAGAAAATCATTCTTTCAAATCCCCGTTTACTTCTAATTTAGTAAACACTTGCTGTATGCCTCAATCTAAAAATAGAATAGTGCACACCCTGTTAGCTTATACTTTCATATGATCAATGGTCTCATTCGAAGATGACAATCCTAGAAGTATTGGACTCAATTTTTTATTTATTTCCAGGTAACAATCTCTGTCCATAAATTACCATACAGAAATTACTGCGCAGATAATTTTTAAATATCATCAAAGACTTTGCGTACTTTTGTAACTACAGTGAAATGCGTGACACTAATGCACATCTAGGAACTTTGACTCATAAGTCAGACTCCCGATGATCTTCTAATAATCTCTATTCTCTGTGGTTTTCTTTTTGGACAAACTTTTCATTTAACCGCAAGTAAATTAATTTAGGCGTTATTTTCAGCTAACTTTCCAATTTTTTTCGATTTCAGTTGTGCTCATGAAACAAGTGGTACTAACGACTGTCTTAGGTCTTCCGGGAAGTGGAAAAAGTACATTGTGTGAACGTCTGCATCAGTTAGAAACAAATGATTGTTCAGTTATGTGGCTAGAATATGATCAACTTGTTCCAGTACAAATACTCTCTCTGAAAGCAAACGTATGAAAATAGTTTATTTTCGATTATTTAGACTAGAATTCTGATTGGAAGGACTGGCGTCAAGCTGTTGTTGGTTGTTTGGAGAAACTGTTGGCTTTATGGAAGGGGTTCGACATTATACACGATTTGAATGAAAAAGAAAAAGTTATTTGGTTGAGGATAAACATATACTCTACTCTAGATGCGAAGGACATCATAGTTTTATTAGACGACAATTTCTACTACTTTAGTATGCGTCGTTCATTCTACAATTTAGCAAAAAAGTGTAATCCTGTGTTTTCTTATTATACCAGATTCATGTAGTTATGCGTCAATAGTTTGTAAATGTGCGATAGATACTTGCATTCTTAGAAATCGCGCTAGGCCAAGTCCAGTTCCAGATGATACTATCCATAAGATGGAGAGAAAATTCGAATGGCCCGATCCAGTCAACAATTTATGGGAGAAGCATACAATCACAATCAGTTCACTTCAAGAGAATGTGTATGTCTGTCTTTTTATCCCATCGCTTCTATTTTTAATAGACATAATCCAGTCAGTTTGCTTCGTTTCTTAAAACTGTTGTTGAACCAACCGATTATAAGTGAAGATTCTGTAAAAGATGAGGAGAAAAACAGAAGCAAGCGTATTAATCTAGACAGTTTACTCCATAATGTGGATATTCACTTGAGAAAGGTCACAAATCACACAATTAAATCTAAAGGTACGTTGATCTATCAATTTTCATTTACTTCAGATTGTTTGTGGAGAACTCAGTATGCAAAAATGGCATCGGATATTAAAGCACAGTGTTTACAAGAACTGCACAAGACCATATCCGGAGAAAATAGTATTTGGACAGTTGAAAACTGTCAAAAGTTTGCAGAAGAACTGTTCTATGAGAAACTTGATGAGGTTCTTAATAAGAAAGTAACGGCTGGTTATAAAAACACATTGCCTGAAATATAGTTGTAGAAAAATAATTGTATAAGTACTCGAGTATACTTTGAGATGCCCAGCATTGTAATTCATGTTATCACACTTATTTTCTTATAGATACTTGTTCTATATGTTTAATTTGCCATAATATAAATGTATTTCATTGACAATGTAAAAGTGACTACGGTTTTCCTAATGTTTACCTCTTCACTTTATTCTGTAAATGAAATATCAAGTTACTAGCTAATCGATTTATTGAAAAGTTCCATATTTGTTTTTATTTCTCATTCTCTATGCATACTGAGGTAAAATACTAATCAACTAATAAATGAATAGTAAAGTTGTTGATAATGGCCACAATCTATACGTTATTTATTGTGTTGGATCAGTTTCAAATTCGGAGTTCAGTGATTAAAGTCAGTTTCACAAAGCAGTAAACCGTAGTTCTTTAACTGACTTCATAAGTCGTCCAAAGATCGTTGGTATCTATCCTGGTTAATCAGTAAAGGTCGTGTATATTTCCAACTCTTCATGGATTGATCTTGTACCTTAAAATGTTTATGGGTTGGAATCAAATGTCTAACTTACTGAACCATTTATTTTGATAAACTGCGACATTTTAAATAGTACGACATTAGTAGATTGGTTTTCTAGATTAAGTGACGAACAAATTATTTGTAAAGCGACTTAGTTTGTTTGACTTTGAATTACTGAGCAATGTAAAATAAGTCAATATAATAGTTTGTCGAGATGTAATCTGGTTCGAACTTAGTTAATCTACTCTTTATATTTGATCTTAATCTTGATTGGTATTTCCTTTTCACCCATAACATTTGTCGCCTTTAAGTTTGTTGATAACACATAAACCTGATCTCTAATGGACATATATCTCAATATTAACTTATAAATTATCTACAATATGGCTTTTTTTGTCCAGAAATAGCAAAATTTCCTTCATAATTTTATAAAAAAAGAGTGAATATGATTAATCAACTAGTAAAAATTAGTGTTCTTGTTCTTGTGTGGTCTTATAGCAACTACTCGATCGAAATGGTTCCCAGCTCATGTAACAACGTATGCCACACTTCGTTTCTATCGATAAGTGGTCTTTTGACTGGAAGTTTGGTGTTGACCCATAAGAAATCATGCTTTAGTTTGCCGTGAAGCCATTCATATAAGTGGTAATCCTAATAAACTTGGAGTTTTTTTATGTGGAGTCTGGGGGGAGGAGGTTGAATATATCCGAATATTCACAACAGCAACCGAACAACTAGTTGTCATCTAGTGATAAAAATGGTGATATAACGGCAAGAATATTCGGTTTGACAGTTAAGTTTCAATTTCATGGGCTGATAAGTAGTGATCTGCTAAACTCATAGTCATTTATATTTTGATCGATTTCTGATGTTTTTTGTCTCAACTCTTTTTTATGTAAGTATGCTATTTTACTAAATAAAATGGTTTTCCGAACCTACCAACTCTGTAATTGTAGATGCATTAGAACGGCAGTAATAAAAATTACTTTACTGAAAATTTTTATCGTCAACTTAAGCACGCCTATAATTTATGGTAAAGAAAATATTTGTGTGTTTATCCTGATAGAGAAAAACAGGAGTAAAAATGAAATATAGTTTAAGAGGAGTGGACATGTGTGATTCTATGGTATTCGAACACTCCAATACAGATTGGAGTTAAAAGGGTAAAATATCTATAGATATATTTTAGTTACTTGAAAGTAGTATAACTTTGTAAATGGAAGTTTAGGTGACAAGTTACATATACATTTGAGTTGTTGTCATATGACTAGGGTAGATAAATCAGCTTGCAAGGAATTTATTTCACCCACTTATTTAGCTTTTTGATATTAAGCAGAAATTTCAAATGACTTTCAGGTGTTTATTCTTAATGTGCCAGAGAACAATAATTATGTTTTGGATTATATCAAACCATAACAGAACAGTGAGAAGATAGTTAATCTCATTGTTTTATTAAAATTAGTTATAAAACGGGCTAAGTGCTTTACATCAAATAACCTATTTTCATTTTATTACCATGATAAATCCATCTTAATTGGATAAAGCAGCCCAAGTAACCGTGGCGTTGACAAAACAATTTGACAAGAAAACATTTTTGTTGTTTAATAAGGATGTTTAAACTATTGGATATATCGAGGGGGAGATATATTTCACTGTAATCGTCTCACAGATATCATCATGGTCAAGGGCGTATATATATATATATATATATATATATATATATATATATATATATCAACTAAACAGATTGTTCTAAGCATTTACGAATAATTTAACTATGACATCATCTACTGAGATGATTACATTTCATGTAACCTATAAATCACGATTATATTTCAATAGATTGTTCGGGAATTAAATAGTTTTTATATCCGACAGTGATTAGGTGTCACTTATCTTCGTCCGGTGAGCTTCTAGACTTTTCCCTCAGCAGTAATAATCTTTTTACAACAGCATATTTGATGCATAAATTTTGAAGTTAATCCCTCTCAGTTCTTCAAAGAATAGATCAGTAAGAAAATGTTTTCAACCATCATAGTGTACCTACTTGTATTTTTCTGTATTCTTGATGAGTATACAATTTTCCAGTCTTATAAACTCATATCAAGTATTTTATAACCATTTTTAAAGAATAAACTCTGGATTAAGATGTAATAATGAAAATCTGTGAAAATCAGTGATAAAATTAAGCAATTCCTTTATGAATATATTTAAGTAATAATTTATACATTGTAACATTTTTCACTTTCATTCTCAAGAAAATGATAGCTAATGTAAATCGAGTTTTTTTATTTCTTTAGTTTATTCGTTAATAGAAAATGTTAACCAAAATAATTTGTATGAAAAGTTTATTTCTTCACCTTATTGTACAAGCTAGTGGCTATCAGGACAGTAGCTAAGTGGATAACGCTATGGCGTTTGAAGCGAACGGTAGTTGATTTGAGTCCCGGAATGAACATAAACTCTGAGGTGCAGGTACAACCAGTTGACGAGTCCCATACAAGACGAGACGCACATCCTGGATTCCACTGCTAGCCACCATCCATCTTTGCTTATAATGCTTGTGACTTAAAACAATATCGAGGCAGTTCGTACAGGATTTACATATGCTAGTAAGAGGCTGACCAATTGTAGTCCTAAACATCAATGGAAGGATTCAAGCAACAAATACAAAACGAGTTTATGTATTTCGTTTTTAATGATATGAGTTTTATCCATAAGATTGTACACTTGGTAACTGTATCGTTTTACAGCAAAAAATAACCTAAGTGCAACGAAAGCTAACTTTTGGAGTTCATTTGAACTATTACCCTTACGGAAAAAATGTTACAGTATTGAATTTAAAAAATTAAGATTACTATTAAAAGTCATTTGTAGCAAGAGTGGAACTTTACCATCGGTAACTATCATCTAGCGCGTTATAACAAAACACAAATGTTTTCTGAATTTCGGAATCAATGTGTGATAACCTGTAATTTATAGATCTTAATTTGTAGTATGTTTTATGGTTCTCGATAGTCATACAGATATTTCATAGTTTACAACACGGGTTAATTGTAATCAAATAATCATAATCGTTAACACAAATTTTCAAAATATATACTTCGTTTAATCTCAGTAACAACCTTATGTTTATTTTGTAATTTATTTGAGATGGATGTTATAAAATTATTTTGTGAAGTAGCACAGCGGCATCAATGAAACAGTAGTTTATTGACACTAGCTTGAATGAAAATCACGTTGTATTGTGTAAGGGTTAAAACTTGGAATGTAGACAGATTCAAGTTGGTCTAGAAGTTTGTCATTTGTTATGGTAAATTCACGGTTTTTTTAGATGTCTTCTATGTTTAGTACTATTCCACATAATATAATTATACAGATAATGCGTGAACACATTGATTCAAGTCACTCGTAATAATTTATACCAAAACTGTAGTTTTAGTTTAAAGATAGTTTATAATTGGCCTAGTGAATTAAGTTACTATGGAGTTATTGTTAACCTTAATTGTCGGAGACATTTTTATGATGAAGATACATAAAACAAAGTGATGATTATAAATGATAACAGCAAAGTTTTTCATGTATGTCAGTAATATATATATTACCGCCAGTAGTTATAAATATACTTTTTGTATATTTGTAATTACTAATGAAACGTGAATATGCTAAGAGGTTTTGTATTTTATTTATCAGCACTAGACATATTATGAATAAAAAGATTCGAAGGTGCATTTATTGGGAAGACTCAGGTTGAGCGTCATCTAAATTTGAAAAGTTCCCATCTAATAAGTTACAAAATAGTTTTGGTAGGGAAATTATTCAACCGTATTCACATATATATTTGGTGCCCTCTTGTACTAATATTTATATGTTCAAATAAATAAATAAAATATTCACAAACTTTATTCGTAATGGAAGATAGAGGAAGAGATAACCATAATTGAGTAATGTTTGCGTGGTAACGGTTGTCGACCTGTTTATTATTTGTGAGAGATAAAATCAAGGGAGTACGATGTGATATGCTTATTATTATTTCCTTAAAAATAATTTACGGGGGAAGTTATATTTTCTAAAGAATTTACTTTATTCTAAACAAATTTCTCGTTAAGGCAGTCAAAAGTAGGCCTTCACATCTCTTTCCTTTACCTTACATTCGTTCCATCTACTTTAATTGTTAATCATTTATGTAGACATGACAGAAGTTTCTGTATCTGTTTTCTTTTTTGAAATGACCAGTACAAAATTTCTAGGTTATAAGTGGTTAAAAAGAATTCACATTATTCTGCTACGATTATTGCTTTTACTTTCCTAAAACCTATAAAGGAGGTGGAAGAGCTGTAGGAAGTGGCATCAACAAATAATTGTTGGTGAAAATTCATATATCATTTTTAGATCAATGAAAATCACTTTTCATTTTTCTCTGGTCTATAGTACATTAAAAAAAATATTTCGAATTCTCATTGGGATCATTTTAGTAAGTAAATCAATTATATTACTAAAGATGAATTCTACTAAAAAAATAAATGATAACTAAGTATTAAGCTCTTGTTTATTTGAAACAGATTCAACAAGACAGATAGATTTATAATCTCTTAGAATTACTGAAATAAAACATGTTGAACAAATAATTTTACATATTTGACACAAATGAAGTCAAATAGTTGAATTCATGAGTGAATTGGAGCCAGACCACCATAGAAAACCTTAAAGCACTGAACGGCCGTTTCGTC